AACGTGCTATTAAGGCATAATCAGTCAATTAGCACCGTATTACCTAATTTGGTAAGTGTCAGAAGAGGTCCACCATGTTCAGGGCCCATGACAGGTAGTATAAATAGGTCACACGAAACGAGGTATGTCACTGTTCATTTATTGCTCTTGAGAATCGTGCTTGTCATGACTTGAGCGTCGGAGTGCCTTTTGCAGGTATTTCCCCCTCTGAAGCATCCACCCGGAACTCTCATTCGGCCCTCCAGTTACTAGAAGATTACGAGTGTGCCCTCAGACAAGTATATTTGTGTCAGTCCACGTGGCCGATAAGACCCTTCCGGTACACATATATTTTAATTCTTTCACATAGAAATTAATGTCATGCAATAAGAAAATCAAGCGAGAGTTTATTTTTCACATAGTAAAAATTGTTTATAGGGAATGTGAAAATGGAAATTTAATATTCTTATATTTGTTATGAGTTTTCAAAAATTATGCTTGAATATTGTTCTTTTTGGGAAATGTCTTCCTACTACTTTTCTTGCTCTTCTTTTCCAGTGTTGGAATTTGAAATTATTGTTGAAATATTAAAAGTTACATTTTAACTTACTTGTAATTTTTTCTTTAAACTTTATTTAAATTATTTTAAATTAAACAGAAAAAATAAACACTTTATATTTTTATATAAATAAAATATAAAAAAAGTAAAAAAAAAGTAAAATAGTTATTACTCTTACAGAAAAAATTATCAAACATAATTATTAATGGTTATTTTATTTTAAACTTCTTTTTATTCTTTAACTAACAAATAATAAATATTAGAGGATAAAAATGTCGAATGAAATATGTATAAAAATGGGAGATCTCCTTTATTTATATATATAGAGAGATTTTGAAAATATTCCAAAGAATATTAAAACACAACCAAACATATTTTATAAAGATACTTGAGAATAACATTCCACTGAAAATATTTTCAAAAATATGATTTCCAAGAACGCAAAATCATAATCTAAACAAATATTTTCAAGTGAACTTAATACATCTAAATAATGAGATTGATTCCAATTTGAAGTATCTAAAAAAAGTAGATAGATGAATCATCATTAAATTTCTATTGAAATTTAAGACATTTTATGTTTGTATAAATTTTATTTAAATAAATTTTTTTTAAAATCAAAATAGTGATGTCTCTCCATAGAGGTAGAGTTGTCAAAGTGGGTAATTCGATCCGACCCATCACAAGTTAGGTTATAAGTGAGTTAATCCGATCTAGCTTAGAGCTAAAAAAAATAGTTAATCACCTATACACTGTCAGTGTAATATTTTTTCTACTGGCAACCAATATATGAATAGTGCCTTTTTTTATTTTAATTTGATTAAATAAGTAAATGACATAGCACTATTAAAAGATATGATTGGTTGTCAATGTAAAAAATTTTTACACTGACAGTGTATAGGTGATTAACTCTAAAAAAAACAACCTGACCCGACTCACTACAGGTTAGTGGGTTAAATGGATTGGCTTGCTTAAATTTAAAAAAAAATTAAAATTATTGAACTTTATAAAAAAAAATATTATAATCTTATATTTTAAAATTACAACTATGTTAACAAATAACACAAATAAAATGTCAAAAAGGAATTAAATATTATCCACAACCAACTTATAAAATCAAAATTATTACATAAAATATTGACAAATAATTTCAAATTGATACTAATTATTATAATTCACAACTAGTATGTACAAAATTTAGTTAATGATATTAATGTATAATCACATAAATTAACATTTAGGAACATATAAAGTAAAATAAAAAAATAAAAAATAATTTGGTGAGCTAACCCAACACACCACGAGTTGGCTCGTGGTGAGCCGGGTTGTAAGTGACCAAATTTTCCTTATAATCGAAATGAACCAAAATTTTATAACATAACTTGACTCAAACCCGTGGTAGATAGAATTGACTCATGAATTTTAACCCACTTTTTCAGCTCTACATAAAAGTAATGGTGTGAGACTAGGCATGGCAATCTAACCCGCCCCCGTGGGTACCCGCCCGAACCCGCCCCGATTTGGATGGGGAAAACCCGTGTTTATCGGGTTCGGGTTCGGGTTCGAATTTTTCCCGATTGATAAAATCGGGGGCGGGCCCATACCCGCCCCCGCCCCTGCGCCGCTTAATAATATAATTAAAAAATTATTTTTATATATATAAACCAAAATTATAAATATTTATATGTAAAAATTTATATTATTTTATTTTTCTTTTATTTTTTTTAAATTGTTCATATTTATTTAAAAGAAAAAAAGAAGAAAAAAAATAAGAGTAAGGGCGGGGTCGGGGCGAGGAAACCCGAACCCCGCCAAAGATGGGGATGGGAACCTAGATTTTATTTCCGGCAG